ATAGCTAACTTTATAACTAAAACAATTATTCATCCAATCTAAATATTATAATATATATCACAAATAACTTTTTCAAAAGTACTTTAAAATTCGAAATAAAAAGATAAATGTTTCAAGCTTAATAGTAAAATGTTTGAATTAGATTTTACATAAATCCTGCAGCACTTTTTAGGCATAATTATTTTGTGTTCTACATATTTCTGTATTGTGATTAACTGGAAGTGTTGACCTATTGATTTTATCAATAAATAGGTAAATTGTATATAAAATAAAATTGTTTAAAACAAACAACATAGTTACATCAAATACCAATTTCTGTTCAGTACGACAAATTTATATATAATTTATAATTATAATAAACGTGTATTTATTTTTAATAATATTTTATATTCAAAGTATTTTTTGTTAACAAACACCAATGTAGCAATGTTGGATTTGTAATGCAACGCAATATTGTTTTAAACAATTTTATGTGATATCATTATAGTATATTTGTGCATAAATAACAAATCCCCTATCACTCCCGTTTTGCAATTAGATTTTATAAGCTCTATAAGGTTATTATAACCGATACATTAAATTTATATTTATGATATATTTTATCATTAAAGTCTTAAAAGTCCTTCACTAGGAAATGCAAATCTGTCAATAATGTTTTTTTGCTATTGTTTCAAATGTGGCAAATTTATTTCCAATATAAAATATTGGTTTTCATTTCGTACGCTTATTACATGAATTCAGTTAAAAAGTCTCGGTCAGAACATTTTTATTATTCATTTTCAATAACGTTGTGTACATCCACTTTGCAATTTTTAATAAGAATTCTAGGCAAGCCATAACTCTTGAATGTAGTAGACAGAATGTCAGTACAGGCAATGACGCTGTTTTATATTTCATTCTCTGATGATTTGATGTGGTATCTCAATTCTGTTTTGAATTAATTCTATGTAAAATTATCCTGTATCTAAATATGGTTGCAGATGATCGTCTGAACCTGTATATTCCTAGGGAATGGGCGACCCAAGATTCTAACAATTTCCTTTGGTATTTTCGCAAATGTATGTTGCTGTAGTTAAGAAACGGTGTGTGTTGTTAAGCATGGTACAAATTTTGATCATATATTTCAAGTTTCTCGTTTCATCGTCAATAATAAAAATCTCAGGACTATTTGGACTTAACTCACAGCATATATTTTTCATATCACCTACGCTCATTTTATCAAATTCGTCTCTTCTGCATACACTGGCAGTCAAAAATTGCTATAACCTAAAATGTATGAATATCATTCCAAAGGAATTATTGCATTACTATCCTTATCACAATAATCGCTATCAAATGTTGCCATGTCCAGCTACAGCGTGTCAAAAATCAATCAATAAAAAAAATCTATTTTTAATTTTTAATTTCTAAACCGCTTGAGATAATTTAACCAAATTCGGTATGCATACTTAGTATGACAGTATCTATGAAACAAAAAAATACCAGTTTTATAAACTCACCAGTGGCGGAGGTGAGGTTTCTTTTAACTTAAAGCTCTTTTTCTTTTCAGCTAAGCTTTCCGAATATGTAATAATATACAGGGTGTTTCTAAAATAGGGTTCCAAACTTCTGCTGCGTTTATAACTCATTAAAATAAGCCAAAAAGTTCATATTAACATGTACCTAAACCGCAAACTTAGGAAGATATATGCCCTTAAAAGGGCTCAAAGAAAACTGTTTTTTTTCTGTTATTGACAAAACGGTCGCAAATAAATAGGAAAAAAATGTATGGGTCTTACATAACTTTTTACGTTAAATAACATGGGCTACTCCGTTTTTCGACATGTAAATCATAATGCGTTCCATTTAGGTTGGTGAAGTGGGTTTTCAGCCCGTAATTTTTTTTTATTTCAATTTGTTTACAATTTTCTTTACAGATTTATAAAATCTTAGCAATTTTACGTAAAAAATATTATCTTTGTCCAAATCGATATTTCCAATGGTTTTCGAGTAAATTGAGTTTGAAAATTACTCTGCTCTTTCAGTTATTAGGCCAAAAATTACAAAAATCTGTTTACCATGACCATAAAAGACTGACGTTGCCACAACGCTTAACAATTTAAGTTATTGATCAACTGTCAATTGAGCTTTGCAGTGTTTAATTAGTAAAAATGGTGAGTGGAAAATTAAAGTATACAACATTATTGCAACTCATAAAATGAAGTCATATTCAAAGACGGAAATGGCAGAAATCCACTTGAAATACCTGTTGAAAAGGAAGTCTCTATTCGGGTATGCTGCCGCATTTCCGTGTTTGAATATGACTCCATTTTGAGTTGCAATAATGTTGTATACTTAAATTTTCCACTCACCACATTTACTAATTAAACACTGCAAAGCTCAATTGACAGTTTATCAATAACTTAAATTGTTAAGCGTTGTGGCAACGTCAGTCTTTTATTTGCCATGGTAAACATATTTTTGTAATTTTTGGCCTAATAACTCAAAGAACAGAGTAATTTTCAAACTCAATTTACTCGAAAACCATAACGTAAAAAGTTATGTAAGACCCATACATTTGTTTCTATTTATTTGCGACCGTTTTGTCAATAACAGAAAAAAAAAGTTTTCTTTGAGCCCTTTTAAGGGCATATATCTTCCTAAGTTTGCGGTTTAGGTACATGTTAATATGAACTTTTTGGCTTATTTTTTATAAACGCAGCAGAAGTTTGGAACCCTATTTTAGAAACACCTTTTATAACTATATCACGCGCGTGCGTCGTATTTTTCATTTTGTAACTAAGGTTAAAAAATAAAAAAACTTTCCAGCTTGCAAATTTGAAATTTTAAAAAAAAATTATAGATTTCAATGTATTATGAAATCTACCATGAAAAAAATCAGTGCGATTGAAGATCATCGGGATCGTCCAGACTAATAATTAGTTAATTTGTTTATAAGGCCATAACTTGTAAACTATTCAACTTAACTGTGAGTTATTAGACAGTGATAAGGAATCAGAGGATACGATGCCAAAACGTTCTGGTAATAATAACGCAGTTTATAAATGTTTAATTCAAAAGTCAGAAATAAACTTCTTCTGTTTATAACTTTTGATCTAATCTAATCTAAGGGCTAGTTTTGTAGGTCTTTTGAAGACGAAAAAAAAGTACTATACTTACTGTTTTCTCGTGGAAATGAACGGAAAAGAGTTATAAGCGAAAAACGTGAATTTACGTAAAAATTATACAATTAACCACCCTGTAAACAATCTTTCCCCCATTTTTATTACTGTGGAAACTAATACAGTGCGTCCCAGAAGTAATGCAAAAAAATCGTATTTTACTTTGTGTTGAGTTTTCCCAAAAACCTTTTTTGCGATATGTTTCATAAACCTATGACGTCATCGAAATTTTTTTTAAATAGCACTACCTAATTTTTTAAGCATAAATGGATAGCCCTTTTGAAGGGAAATGCGTCGATATAGGGTTTGGCCTATTTTACTTTGACAGGTGCGAAAAAAAAGCCAACGATTGGAATCACACAAAAGTAGGTATCACAAACTTATGCGCGAACAGTGCTATAGCAAACAATGTGTTTTGGTTGATTGTAGGTAGGTACATGTTTTTATGTAGATTTGGTAGGTACACCCGATCAGAGCGGCTATGTAGATATTGTTTTGAAGATCACAGTTAGCGAATGCAATAGTGCCTCATATCATCGTGACAGTTACAAATACCATAACTTTACATTACGACGGTGTTGTGTTTAAATGAGAAACAAAGAATTGAAATCCTAATTATGGTTGGATATGGAGATAGGATCCGTAGTTATGATGAAGTATGTCAATTATTCAATATCAAGTATCCAGAACAACCAATACCTCCGTCTACAGTATACAGATTACTACGCAAATTTGAAGACGCTGGACATGCTACAGATCTATCTAGATCTGGAAGGCCAACGACAGTGATAGAAAATGATAGACAAAATGTTATGTTTAGCTGTCACTGAAAATCCACACACTGCCGTTCATCGTATCGCCGAAAACGCCAACATATCAATACATAAAAACGTACCTACAATCAACCAAAACACAGAACATTCACAAATTTCCGTTTTTTATGTGGCACTGTTCTCGCATCAGTTTATGATACCTACTTTTGTTGTTATTTTAAACCATGTCCATTCCAGTCATTGGCTTCTTTTTCGCTCCTGTCAAAGTAAAGTAGGCTGAACCCTATATCGACGTATTTCCCTTCAAAAGGGCTATCCATTTATGCTTAAAAGATTAGGTAGTGTTATTTAAAAAAAATGTCGATGACGTCATAGGTTTATGAAACATAGCGCAAAAAAGGTTTTAGCAACGTGACAAAATGACAATTCCTATTTACTAATTGACGTGTTTTAGCGTTTTTGTGAAAACGCAACACATAATAAAATATGAATTTTTTGCGTTACTTCTGGGACATAGTGTATGTTATTGCACATAATATTTAGCATCTATAGTGATAAATTCAGCTTGCGGAAACAAAATGTCGCGTCCAACTCTATATTTCCTGGGCTAATAAATGATTGCAAGAAGAGTGATCGCCGATTTTAGGCAACCAACATTGTACTATTGACACTGCCAATTAAAAATTCATAAACCTAAACGTACTTAATACTAGTGATTTGTTAGCATCGAACAATGATAAAATGTTGCGTTTATACTCAAGATAATACGATCGCCGATTTGTTGTCGTGAAATGTCGTGAAAAATTACCATCCGATGAAATAGAATGTTGCGTTTCAACATAAGCTTGATCTTATTGTCATAACAATTAAAAGTTAATTGCCAGCGCGAAGGAAACAAAATTATTGCTCCAAATAAAATTACTGATCACGCGGTGTAATCATGTATAAAGGCTCTGTAACTCTCTTACTATGTATCATTATATCATTACCATTACCATTATCATTCATAATATGGTCATCATTATCATTATTTTTATCATGATTGTTATTATCCTCATTATTTCAGGATAGGGTGTCCAGGATGTTGCCCCTATTGATGTTCGGTTTGATCGCGTGCTCCTCTGGGGCTATGGCATTGCTGTTCCCCGAGACGCTTAATATCAAGCTGCCAGACACGATTGAGGAAGCTGTTAATATTGGAAAAAATAAATTCGCGAGCGGACGTGAGGGAAATACCGAAAGCAGCTTACCTCTGAGAACAACAGACCAATCAACCAAAATGTAATGTATTGATTGGATATCGAAGAGAAAATAAAAGTGTAAATATCTCCAATGCTGTTTTATTTTTATATACTGTTTAACACCGGGAAGCAATAATTACTTCATCAGAACTGTAGTAATACTTATACTTTATTAAGTCAGGGTTATTACTTATGTGTTATGATCAATTGAGAGATCTACAATTTATTTTGTAAAGAAATTTTAGTTAATTCCGTTACATTCTAATTTTATTCACAAATGGCATTCATTTTATCCTCAACCTCACTTAAGTCTATGGGCCAAATTCAGAGACTTCCCTAAATCTATACTAACTTTTTATTCATATCAAACTTATGCTCCATTCAACTAGAGTGCCCTCATCACATTCTTAATTCTGATTTTCAGAAATGTGTTTAAGTGACTAACTTAAGTGTGCATCAAACTACAAATTACTAGATAAGGGCTACTTATATATTAGCAAACATATATCATCAGTGGAATATATTATATATTTGACACAAAGGTCAACCGTAGAGGTCATTTGAAGGTCAACTTGGATTTCTAGATATGATATATGCAGGGTGTATCACGAAGAGGGCCCAGTAGGATTATCTCAAAAAGTAGTCAAAATTGAAATCTGTATACAGGGGTTTATCAAAAAGATCTGTTCACTGAAAATAGAGTCAATTTTTTCGCACTTCCGGTTAGACCGAAGTCATTATTAACTCTGTTATTTCAAATGGAACACTGGATATTTTTGCATTTTTTAATTTTACGGTAAAATCTAGATTAATTTCATATAAGGTACTATAGGCCAAAATGTGATAATTTTCAAGTTATTATCAATTTTCGAAAAAATTGAGGGATGCAAGCGGTTTTTGAAAGCAGAATAACTCCGACATTTAGCTTTATTTATTAAGAACAATTTAAAAGCAATGGAATTCAACCAGTTTGTGTCAAATTTGTAAAAATTCATACAGATTGTTTAAGAAAGTGTCATCATTATTGTCACGTTAAAGTTGAATTTATTACATTAATGGATGCACAATTAAATTTACTTTAAAATGGTACTACAGTTTTTTCCTATACCCAAAGTTAACAGTTCTTGTGTAAATTGGACATTGGATTTCAACACAGGAAAAGGTACGGTGGATTTGATGCACAATAAACGGTGTCTTATTAATGAACTGTAATTTTTATTATTGTTATACCTTCATCAAAAACAATAATTCAGTATATTAAATTTAAAAAATGGCGATGCTTCAAATAAACCCACCATACTACTAGATTTTTCTGTGTTGAAATCATTAATTTCCAATTTATACAAGAATTGTTAACTTTGGGTATAGGGAACTATAGTATCATTTTAAAGTAAATTTAATTCTGCATCCGTTAATATAATATATATACAGGGTATACCATTTGAAATTTTTAAGTAAATTCAACTTCAACGTCACAATATTGGCCACACGTTTTTAAACACTCTATATGAATTTTTGGTTGAATTCTGTTACTTTTAAATTATCCATGCCAAATAACTTGAAAACTGTCACATTTTGTCCCATATGAAAATAGTCTAAAATTTGCCATTGAATTAAAAAATACATAGTGTTCCATTTAAAATAACAGCTGATAATGACTTCCGGTATAACCGACCGATTGCTTAATTGAGCGACTGCTTACTTTTATAAAAATCCATATTCTCACCGATCAGCATGGATTTCATATAGGCAAATCTACGACTACATTTACTATATGAGAAAATTTTAAACTTTTTGGTAAATGGCGAGTGTCCTGTTGGGATCTTTCGCGATCTCAGCAGAGCTTTCGATTGTGTTAATCATGCAATTTTAATATCGAAATTAAATAACTACGGTATTTGAGGACCTGCCTTAAATTGGATCATTATTTTTATTGAAAATTGGAAGCAATTTGTAAGTATAAATTATAACAATAAGAATATTTATGATATATATATAACTCATAATGCTCTTTGGCAACATTGGGTTTGGGTTGGTGGATTTGTTTTAGGCCCTGTGTTATTTTTATTATCCTGACTACTTGGCCCCCTAAATTTGTCTTAAGAATCTATGACCAAATTTTGTTGCATGGATTTCGGGACACCCTGTATACAAATGATATCGATACTCTTTCACCTAATACTCATTTTACTGTGTACGCTGATGATACGTCTTTAGCAATATCTAATAAGTCAAACCGAACTTTAAAACTTGAATGTGATTTACTGTGTGTTTTACTGAATAACTGGTTTGCTCAAAATTCATTACATTTTAATATTGAAAAAACTCAGGCACTTCGATTTTGCACTACTCAAAATAGAAATTGTAAAACATTAAATTTGAATATTAATAGTAGTTCTCTACCTACTGATACTGTGACAGTAACATTTTTAGGTTTAAATTTGGACACAAACCTTAACTGGAAATGTAACTGTAAAAGTATAATATCAAAATTGTCTTCAATAACTTATTTATTTCGAAATATTAGAATAGTCCTAAGTACCGATCAACTCCTCTGTTTATACTATGCCCAAGTGTTTGTTTCTGGGGTAAATCAACTCTTTCGTCCCATGTTTTTATTGCGCAGAAACGTGTTTTAAGATGTATGTTTGGTGTTTCAAGTACTTATTCTTGAAGAAATATATCTTATACATTATAGAATTCTCACTTTGCCAGGTATTTATATGTATTTTTGAAATATGTATGTGCATATTCAAACACAAAAGCAAATTTGTGATAAATAACGAGTATCATAATGTCAATAGGAGACAAAAACATAATTTTCATGTACCATTTCCACAATTAAATTTAATTAATAGTTCTCCAAAATTTGTAGGGCCTAAAATATTTAATTGTTTACCTGTGGAACTAAAAAGTATAAATAGTGAGTTTTTATTCAAGATAAAATTAAAATAGTATTTAGTAAAGAAATGTTTGTATTCCGTATTATAATTCTATCCTTCTATGTATGTAATTTGTGTTTGTAAATTTGACTATTCCTATACATGCTTGTTAGTTCATGTGTAAGAGAAAAATAAATTATTATTATTATTATTATTATTATTATTATTATTATTGTTATCGTCATTATTATTATATTATTATATACCCTGATATCAACGCCTATTACGTTTTTCAATGAAATAGTCTAGAAAAATGAATTATATGATAAACTTTTTAAGTCAGGTCAAGTTTAAGTTTCAGTTCATATTTGATTGCACTGGTGGAACTGTATGTTTTTGACGGATGGCAGTATGAATAAAATAATATTTCCAGTTTAAATAGAGAAAATAGATATTTCCGTAGAAGCTGGAATTGCGGCACATAATTTACTCTGAATATATCTATTGAGAAAGTTCTTACACACACACACACACACACAGTGGTACGGTAAGAAATCAAATGCTTTGTCGAACGAATCCTAGATGAAAGTGTCAAAGAATAGAGTAATACATCACTGAATAGAGCGCTGAGAGTTGTTTTTTTCAAACTCACCACAGACGTGTCTGGGAGTACGGATATATATTATTATTTTTTGCCTGTATGTGCAAATAATAAGGTTGAGATCAGCGGAAAGTATAACTATTGGGTGAAATGTTTTCTTGTTTATTTTGCATATTTATATATATATTTTTATTTTATTTGAAATGTATTGAGCTAATTCAAATAAATTCAAAAAATTTTCTCCATCATCCCAAATTAAGACAAACAACTTAAAACTTCTTAATTTACTGGAACTAGCTTAATACCTTTCAAATAAAGTAAAAATACTAGAGCTAATAATAAAATATATATATATATTTAAAAAACAAAGATATTCTACAAAAGAAACTTTTTTTTTTGAAAATTCCAAATATAACATCAATATTGTTATTTCAGTTATTTTAAGAAAACAAAGGACAATTAAAATTGACAAAATTGTGTATAATTTTGCTACAATTTCAGATATCGTTTGTAATTTATTTATTTATGGAGAAGGGGATAAACACAGGCTTTATAGCCCAAAACAATGTCCACAAATTACTTAAATCTAATTAAATATAAAAGTTCAGAAATAATTACTATTATAGAAATTGTTAATTTACAATAATAGTTCATTTTAAAGATTTTTAAAAACTAGTGAGCGAGGAGTGAAAGATACAAGTTAAAATGTCTACATATTCTGTATAGGAGAGTTTTGACCAGAATTAGTTCGATAAAAGTCTCATGAAAAAGTGCATTTACTCTAAAGTCATGTTGTGGTATAGTTTTTCCGAAGTCAATTGAAGAACCAATATCTTCAAGATATGTACCAGGCTCAGTCGCTAAGCAGCAACTCGGCATTGAAATATTTGAAAAACTTGTTCGCACATTTATTTAGCCATACAGATCTGGTCGAACGAAAAGTGCAGGTGGTAGAATTGTATACCCTTAGTTGAAGAATGAGCGTTCGGGCAAAGAGCAATGCGCACTGTTTCTCTGGTCCATTGTGTTGTCAAAATTCAGTTGTCGACTAGTCGCCTAGCAGTGCAGTGCGGGAATGCGGAATTTGGTGTGATTCAGATAATTTTAATTTATTATAGGCACCCTTCTATTAATCATTTATATTACAATTGCGAAAGGGAAAAATAACTAATATTATTACAGCATGGCATTTTGGACAACTTTTGAAATGGAACAAAACGAAATTTACCATCAATATAATAAAATTGTTTGAGGACATAAATAATAAAAATATGTTGTTGGTCAAATGAACATATAATAGAAATTTTCTACACATTATATACAAATTATTATAATTTTCTACCTTTAGCAGAAAACTTTTTTAGGGACGCCCATGAAACTCATTAAAATTGATTGCTCGTTTTTTATGCATGTTCAACTGACTTCGGAAGAACTATACATGTAAACAGATCAAGGCTAATAAATCTAGAGTATCGATAAAATCATTAAGAAGTTTATATAAAAATACTGCTTCGGCAATAATTCTTCGACTCTCCAATGAAATAATATGGTAATGATTTCGTAACATCGAGCTACAATGAAAGAATACACACCACTCTCCTTGTAGTGT